ACTTTCTCTATTTCATTTTATTTCTTTTACATATTATTTATTTTTGTTTTGCTTATTAATTTATTTTGATATTATAGTTAAATTTGTAAATAGATTAATATTACTTTAAATAATTATTAGTTTTAAAATAATTTTTGTTTGACATTATTAATTAAATTATTAATTAATTTTATCAAATGAAAATAGTTTTAACTCAAATAATTATTTAATAGTTTGGACTTGTATTGTGTGATTTAATTATAGTTTGGGTGTTTATTTCTTATGTCATCCCCATTCATAAATTTGTACCCTCATTCCCGAAGCGTTGTAATAGCATAGGGCATTTAATTTCTGCAATTTACTGCTTCCATTATTACTGTTAGTTTAATAGGATCGTATGGCAAGATCTAAAACAAAGCGCTAGATAATGATAAATCCAAGATAAATTAACTGAAATCAATACATTTTGCACACACGCACCTCTAGGGTGACCTCGCTTGTTGCCTTCGGATAAAACAGTCATGTCCCTCGAATATGGGACGCTTTAGTAAATATCCTCGATAAAAAAGATCGTAGTCCCTCAATGACCCTTCGATGCTGCCTTCGATAAACGATCTTAGTCCCTTACGAAAATTGCTAAAGCGTCCTACAAGTTTTCTTCTATGACTGTACGATGATCCGCGCATGTCCCTCACATCCAACGATGGGGCTTCCTACTAACTAATAGTAGGGTAACAATATTTAAAGGAGGAAGAAAAGAACAAAGACTTTTTGAGTAGTTAGATCGCTCGTAATCGCTTGCTCACAAACTAAAACAATTTTCGCACCTCACACTTACAATAAACAACCACCTTTAAAAACGCTTTATAAACACTCTTGAGGACTGATACAAGGGTTATTATAAAGTAAATTGCCTTACATTGGCATTTTCAAAAACACTTTTCACAAAAAAGAACACTTTCTTTCAATAAATATTTTCAAAATAAATATTTTGTAAACATTCTCAATGTTACGAGAATCATTACAAAATTATCGTACTTAGGCATTTTCAAAATATTTTTAAACATACACAAACGCAGAGCATTTCAAAAACTGAGCTAGCGATTAAGAGCCCGTAGATAACTACGGATGAAAAGGGTGCTAACACCTTCCCTTTTCATAACCTACCCCTCTTACTCAGAAAATTCTCAAAAGGTCTTTCTTGTTCTTTTCACTTTTTCTTTTATTGGATAAAAGAAAAGTCGGTGACGACTCTTGCTATATGCAACATTTACGATAAAACGCAAAACCTAAAAGTCAGTTCTCTCACCGTATTACACCAGACATATCCCATATTTGTATAGATAATATCATCAAATCAGATTTCACAAAATAACATATCAATGAAATAATCATACTACAAAAACTTCACTCACAAATTCTTTTACGCAATGAGCATATGTTTTGATATTCTTTGTTCCGTAGAAAGCAATTGATAGAATGCGTGATCCTATGAGTCTGTGCCAAATGAGAGAACTGTAATAGTCTGGATTTGGCATGAAATTAGTTGTATTCAGTAAATCATAGTTTCCTCCTACTAGTATATTCATAAATCGTGGAGAGTTACACTAATCAGAACATGAAAAGGTGGATGAGAAAAAATCATAACTTGATAAGGTCATCAACGCAAATGAGGAACAACAAGCTTAACACAAAATCGATTAGCATAAACAATGAACATGAAACTTAGAAGTGAATGGTGTGGGAAATGAAATGAAAGGCAAGAAATCATATATATGCACCTTAAACTAGGTATTGTCTTTGAAGGGTTCGACAGAATACCATAACACAAACAAAGTCATGTAAGTCCAGCAAGAAATCATATAGATATATTAGTAAAATTAGAGAAATTCTAATCAGCCCAACTTTAGCAAGATTTTTATAGATGATTTTACTTTCATAGAATCTAAAGACGAACCTTTGACAGTAAACCTGCAATGACTGTTCCATCTTCTGCAGAAACAAAAGCAAACTTGATTTTCCCTGACTTCAACTTTAAGGGTCTGCAATAGATTGTCATGTTTATATTAGCTTCGATTTCAGAACTTGGGTTTAAACTTTCACATTCATTCTTCTGATTTTGAAATAGAGAGCGTTTCGATTGTTGAAGTGAGAGACCAAGGTCAGATGTCTCTAATTAGACTTCTTTTTTATTAATTAGTTTTGTTAATCAATTTTAATTAACTTCACTTATAGATTCAATTAAATTTTAATTAATTCAAATCAAGATATTTATCAATATTAAAGGTATGTCGAAAGTTAATCATATACCTCTAAATTTCATTTACCCTTGTCCAAGATAAATTTTTATAAAGAAGGAATTTAGATTTATGAACATTAGTATTTATAGCAAAGGCTTTACACAAAGCTTGAAGCACCTCATTAACTAGTCTAACTTGAGAAATTTTAACTTTGTAATGAATAGACAATTATATGCAAAGAAGAGATGAAAATAATCGGTCCATTGTTAGAGATGAATATAAAGAATCAATTATTCGATTCTATTTTTTCATGAACGAGAAGGAACAATTTCTCCATACAAAACAAGAATAAGTAAGACATAAGGTCACTTTGTCACAAATCACGAATAGGAGCAAAATTATTAAGCTTCTCATTATTTCACTTAAGAGACAAGGATGATGAGGCAATGCAACTCATAATTAGATCAATTGTTAATATTGAAAATTCAAATTTTGCTAGAATGATTTTCAAAAAATTCAATCTACACTATCACATTCTTTCTCAAAATCAATCTTATACATATGAAAATCTTATTTGCCTTAAGCTATAAAAGAATTATCTGAAATGCCTCGATTAAAGATAAAATCACTATGAAGAAGACGAATGAGGATTTTTAAACACGGTCTAATACGCAGAACCAAGACCTTTAGAGTTAAATTTAAGGAAAACATTATATAAGTCAATAAGTCTAAAATCACTGAGACTTTGTGCTTCATCAATTTTAGAGATGGGAATGATAAGGATCTCAGCAAAATCACCTGGGATGCGACCAAAAGAAAAAGTATCAGACACTAATTTTCAAAGATTACCTCATACATTATGCTAGTACGTAGTAAAGAAAATAAGTTGAAATTCAGTAGACCTTGGAACTTCGTTCGAGGCATATAGTAAATAGTATCCTTAATTTCTCTTCTATACCGGTTATAGTATCGTGAAGAATCTGTGAAAAGGTTATGATGCAAGAGGCTATGTGAATCACATTGAACATTAGATTCAAATAATTTCTTGAAAAAATTAGAGGCTTCCCACTTTAAAATCTCATCATCAAAACACCAAATTCCTTCAATTTTGAGACTAGTAACCTTGTTCCTTCTCCTCTAAATCATTGTTTGAGCATCACAGAATTTGGTATTTTATTCCCAAATTTAATCCAATTTTCTCTAGACTAATGAAACCATAAAAGTTCTTCTAGAATAGCATAGAATTGTTTTTAAAACTCTCTTTCCAATTAGATGATATCAGGTGATGAAGAAATATCTAACTATGGAAACGAGGCTCAACTTGTCTTTTCCTCTTAAAAATATTACTAAGACTTCCTTGTTGAAAATGATGGATTTTTCTTTAATGCTAGCCAATTTAGCAGATGCAGCAGAACCATTAGGATCAGAAGCATTCCAAGTATTATCAACAAGTTTCTCATAACCAGTGTGAGAAATTAAGGCGGCTTGAAAGTGGGAAAAATTAGAACGTTGACTTTTAAACTTACTACAACTAATCAATAAAGAGCTAATTGCATGAGAGAACGCTAATTGCCAATCGACGTCCATCATGGTTCTATCCAACCACCACAGGTTCTATTCAACTTTTTTCTAACATGTCTACTCATCCACTAAATTACAATTAATCATTACCTGAGCTAGACTACTCTTAAGATGGAAATTGCCATCAAATACTTCATTTAGATCACTAACTAGTAATCCAAAAATATTAACAATATTTCTTAGTTGAAAGATGTAATTCCAAAGACGTATGTGTAAGTTCAAGATAGAAGATGCATAAATAGAGAAGTTTCAATTTCACAGGTCTTCAACCTTTCTAACACAGTTTCAAACACTTACTAAGCCTCTGTTTGGAACAGCGTTTAGGGTAAAAGAATCACGTCCCAATGTTTTCAACGTGAAAATGTAGATGCTGCATATTAGAATGCCACAGTAAACGTGTGTTTTTTGAATCGTAATGTACAAGCAAACACACACTAAGTGTATCAAAATCCAATCAATGCTATTGAGTTTGAAACAATGTATAAATAGTGCCTATTTATTTTAATCTATCACCACAGTTCAAGCTCAACACTATTAGAACCAACCTCTGTCATTCAAACTTTAATCAAGTTCATTACTCTACCATTATATAGTATCTATCTATATTGACAGAAGTTAGAACAATTACATAACCGTGCTTAAAATGATAGTGTTTACAAACAATGGAAACTCCTAAAAATCACTTGAAAAAAATCTCAAAAGGCTCAGTAGCTGACGCAGCTCAATTAAACTCTTCCCACTCACAATGTGTGAAGCAACAATAGTGCAGACTTTGAGTGAATTCTAACAAGGAAAGAAGGAAAAAAGAAGAGGAGCAACTAAAGTATCCATTGCAAAAAAAGAGTGGAAAATTTTTGATTTTTTCTTCTAGGGAATGGAAGAAAGTTTATCTTTACATGACAACTATGGTTACTGATTTTGATGATTCTATCTCATAAGAGGCCTCAGTGGAAGTGACTCATTTGCATTATGTATAACATGAAACGATCCGGGTTCCTGGTGGAGGAAAATTGGATGATGTCTATACAAAGTATTCGTGTGTTTGTTTCCACATTTGTTTTGGGTCTCACCGCATGTCCCCACTTGAATATTCAATCTATTGCTTCGACTAAATCAGGTTGAGATGGCATTGGACACAAGAAAAAACACACTCGACGTGAGCGCTATATACAAACTCTTTGTACTTTAAAGAAAAACACATTAAGGGCAGCTGGAATTTGTTGTCTCACTCTTGATCACCCGAGTATTATATGAACCACAAAATCCACATTTATGATATAACCAGTGGAAGTGTGAGATTCCCTTTCGATCACAGTCATGGCAGAGTATGTCCTGCATTGTTACAAGAAAAATGATTGACATTGGTAAAATAACACCAATAGATATATTCAGCTGATTAATGTTATTGACATTAGTCATGACTCATGAGCTGATGAGAAAAAGCAAAATGATGCAACTTCAAATCTGAAGTATAGATGTTGATTTGTTAAACACATATTTTTTCTTTGGTCATAACAAAATTTAGTGTCTTCCAACTCAAAACATACACTGTTCAACCGAGTATAAAAACATAATAGATGAAAAATCTTGTTGGTTAAAAACAAATGGTTTTCAACATACTTATTCCCTCTAGTATACCAAATGAGATAAACAAATCATATCAGTTGAGTCTTGAAAAACAACCTTTATACAATTGTCATTATTAATATTTTGATGGAAAAAGATATCAAGAAAAAAGAAAAATTGGAAAGTACAACTAAGTATGTGGAGAGGGAAAAGGAATCCTCGCATGCCTAAAACACACCACAACTTACTTTTTTATTTTAAGTTTAAATACAAATTAAATAGTCCCATTAACAATTGAAAGGAATAAAATGAAGAGGAATTTAACAGGGTCCACGTAAATATTGAAGAAACAAGCAGAGGTAATACCTGAGAGCGGTCCCTGTACTCTTCAGGAAGCTGCTCAGCTGCCAACAAAGCATCAAGCATACCAAAGTAAACCTGGGTAGGTAGAGAAACAGCTAAGTGTTGTATGACATGAAACTTTTAAGAATCTATATAATCTATTTCCACTTGAAACCAGCATAAGTAAACTAAAATATGTTGTTGTTTTTACTGTCATATTTGTGCCAATACCCAATCAAGATTAAAACTGAACCTCTAACAAAATGGGTCACTAAGGAACTCACTAGCCAAATTACAAAGGAGAAAGAAATAAAATATAAAGAAAATTTGACTGTCTGTAGTTTATCTCTGTATTTAATCAGACATGCTTGAAAAAATTTAGGCATTGAAGTTTAACAGGGCCGTCCAAACAACATCACTTTTCTCAAATTCTAATAGTATGCCAACACATGCATAGAATTATAAATGATCAATAAATACAAAGAATTGTACAAGTTTAGACTTCATATAAAAAGATTATAGAAGAATCCGTTCTTACCGCCATATCTCCCAATGACTTGCTGCAGATTGGACATGTGTAGTGACTGCAAGTGTATGCCTAACATTTTACAACAACGCGTGAGATTGAATACAAAACATTCTTTGAAATTTTGAAGATGTAGAATGAAGATAAACAATTAATTGTTTAACTGCAAATTATCTTTTTCTGGGTCTGTGGGGGAAGCTAAAACCCTGAAATGGGTGTGACATACCTGAAAGCAAGATGAATGCATGTAATGCCCACAAGCAAGAGCTCTGACTGTTGCACTTGATGTGAACAAGTCGTCACAGCAAATTGGGCAGTTCATTTCTAACCCTTTCTCCAGGCACTTGTGAGACACTGATTTTATCCCCACACAACAATTACATTTCATACAATGAAAGTAATCAATCCCAAGCCCTTGTCCAACACGGCATATATTGCAAAATGGGCAATGGTAAACATTCCTGGGGAATAACGATGCCAAGTTAAAAACCAAAAGGTACATGGAAAAATACAAACTTTACATTTTAATAATCAATGTCAATCAGAACATAGAAGAAATAAGGTTTCAAGTATTTCTTTCAAACACAATAAAATAACATCACAGTATGAAACTATTCAGACAAAAAGAGAAACAATTACAAAGAGAATCCTTAATCCTCTCCTAAATAAAACAATCAAGAAAAAAAAGGTTCCCAATCATTTAACATATATGTTTTTATACACTAAATAGATGCCAAATGGCTACTCGTACGTACCAAATATTCTCTATCGCTTTTCAAAGAAATAGATGAGTTTTTCGGCTTAGAGTACAAATCAAGCCTTGCACTGATTTAGTTCATTCATTTAATATTCTCTCAATGTTCTGCCTCTTCTTTTTCAAACATCTAACTTTGTATACGAAATAACTTTCATGTTTAACAGTGGATACGCACCACTATGGATTTCCCTTTAGAGTAAACTAAGATTGTTATCTTCATATGCAAGCATGTGAAAATAATAAGAAATTGAAAGCTATACTAAGTAACTTTTGTCTGAACTATGTTTTTCGAGAGAGAAAATATTAGCAAAAGGTCTTCACAGCTCAATTGTGTATGCTTGACATTACGGATTCTGTCCCAGCCCTGTCCACTTTCCAAAGTTTACGACGCCACTTATGTAACAAAACGGAAAAAGTAAACAGTGGTTTTAATACTAGTCTTCAGAATTATAAAGAACAAAAATTACCTTTCATCATCAAAAAATTTGCAAATGTTACAGTAGTATTTTGCCATTGAAAGTCCATTACAAGAAGGTGTTGTGCACATGGGCCCAACTGGCTGTATAGTCATGCAGGCCATACACATCATTTCCAATGTTGCTTTTCTGCAATTACCAATCAGATAAATTAGAAATACTACTATTATAAAATATTAAGAAATCTCAAAAAGTATTACCTATCCATTGAGTGATCACTTGAATTGTTGTCATGACAAAATCTGCATGTAAATAACTTCCCACAACAAGCAGCTCGAACTTTGCAATTTCTCTTATAGTGCTCACAACCAAATACTTGTTTCTCTGGGTCCCGAAATGAAGGTACACGCCCTTCTATTTGTTTATTAGATGATTCCCCAGATTGAGATTTAGGTAACTTCTGTTGGGCAGCTATCCAGCGACTACAATGAAGAAATAACTAATGAAGAAGAGCTTGAAGACAAAAGGTTAAACTTATCAAATGAACATGCATTTTATTACATCATAATTATATAATAAAATGATATAGTTGTAGACACTGGAATCAACCTTGTCATCAGATTCTGCACTAGATATGCCTTTCTCCTTGGGTCAAGGGTTGAGTCACGATAAACTTTCCGGATTTCTGACTCAAGTTCATTCTGATTCATCCGGAATATGTCTTTCCAACCAGGCTTAAACATCTGATCATTCAGGTTCAAGCTTTCTTGATATTCAGCACCTATTAAAAAACCATAATAAACAATATTTTTAAATTTCCATCCGGCAATTCCACAAAATGAAACAAGCTCAAAGCGTATTAAAGACCTCTTTGAGAAGTGCTATGTTCTGATGTTTCTGTCTGTGATGTAGAGCCTGGACTCTCTATCAAGCATTCAGTTAGCCATTCATTGAACATTGTATTCTTAGTTGCTTGTTTCCATGTATCCATCATTTGGTTCTGTTCATCTTGTGTAAGTGCAGAAGTCACCCACGGTAACATTGATTGGAGAACTTCGGCTCCGGTAGTTCCAATTATTCGGCCCACTATCTTGTCTTGTTCTTCCACGGTGAAATGCTTCCCAAACAACGGCCAGAGTTCAAGCTCTTCCCTGAAAATATGCTGATCCAGGGTCACTCGTATAGATTTACACATCCCTTGAAGCTTAGTTGCAAGCTCATTGAACTTTCTGATATCATCAGTATTATTGACTTCAGACAATCCCAAATTACTATCTCTTAAATCCTCTGACATATGGGTCCTCTGCAATGCTTCATGAAGGACAGAAAGCTCAGAGAGAGCACAAGAAATATCTTCAAATAACTTCTCTTCTGCTTTATGATCCAGTGTGTAAGAATGGCTCACATTATGAAGTGTCTCTTTGGATTCCAATGCAGGAAAAACTATATCGTCTTCAGCATTACTATGAGCTCTGTATAAACCCCATAAAAGACGGAATCTTCCAGTAAATTGCCGAATAGTTGCCCCATCACCATCACAAAGCTTTCCAGATTCTATATCCAAATACTCCAAATCTATGCGTATAGCCTTGTGGAATTTAAATATGGTATCAATTGGTCTTTCTGCAGAGCCAACATCACATGAGCTGCTATCAGTTTCCCATATGAAAAGACTGGAATTGAGAGATGGGGCAGAAGAAGTGAAGCTCCGTAAGGACTTGGCAGCAGAAAGTGAACTCAGCCCCAAATTGTTACTGCTGACCCCTAACGCTGGTACACAACAAGACCGGGCACCACAACATGGTTTCTGGGCACATTCATTTTCTGGTGTTTTTGATACATCTCCATTTTTGTGCAACTCCAGTATGCTTCTCTTCACTGATCTTTGGGTCCCATCTGATTCAGCTAATACTGAGCAATCTTTACCAGACAATGCACAAGCACAGGAAGACCGGACAATTTTTTTAGCAGGACAGAAGCGTGATGCACTTGAAGACAAGCACTGACCATTTTTACGAGCCTTGCAAGCCCAACCAGAGAAGAGAGTGACTAAAGCAGAATCTATTGCTGGAGCTGGAACAGATAGACAAGTTGTCAGATAAAGAAGATGCAAGAGTAATTTTCTTAAAAATATATTTCTTCAGTGAGAAATAAATCAAAGTAAATATATAACCTGCCGATTGTATGTTTTTCAGAAATATCTCAGCTTCATCTTCAGTTAATGATCCAACAAACCATGGTAGAACACGCTCAATCAATTTTAGAGGCATCATGCACAAGCTTTCATACACTAGTTCACGCTGCCTTTTGAAGCTAAAGTTCTTCCGTGCAAGTGGAAGAACCTACAGATGTGAGACATAACTCACATTAAAAATAGGTCAACGAGCAGATTTAAGTCACAACTTTCTTGTGAAACACTTGTCATAATATTCAACTATGGATTAAGTAAAGAATATCCTATGTTATACTTATCTCCCAAAAATAATATTATTAGTTGTTACAAGAAATGCTCATATTTATCAACCTTTGACAAGCTATGATGTTCTTCTGAACATATGACACTCACATTTCATTACTTTAGACACTATTGTAATATTAACATTGCATTACTTTAGACGCTCTAATTTCCCTTAATTAATTTTTGGAAAAACTATTACATGAGCAGTGAAGAATCACCTGAACTTCTTCATTATGGAAATGCCTCTGTATGGTTTCCATTATATGATCAGCATGTGAGCACAACTTGGAATAAAGTTCAACTTCTGAACTAGATGTTGCTTCTTCACTTAGAATTCTTTCAATCAAAGATCGGAAGTCATTGAATTGGCTTTCTTCTTCAGCATGCTCCTGAAAGAAAGAAAAGTCTCCATCCACTGCCGGAAAAATAACCTTGTCCTCAGCAATACTGCATTTATAGAAATAGTTCATTAATCATTGATTCATTGCTTGTCACACGTTACTAATATTTGAAGTACATAGGACAGAATTTAAGAAAGTAGCTCAATTATTTTAACTATCATTTCTGTCGCTCGATAATGTATAGGTCACTATAATAAAAGATCATGAGAAGATTCTTTAGCAAGAGACTATCATAACCATTCCATGGCAGTTTATTTCCTAACTGTTGCTTGTAATTTTCACAATAAAAAGAATAAAATAAATGAGACAGCATCTAAAAGAATATCACACTTCAATCTTTTATAGGAGTTCCTCTAGAAATAAAAGTACGACATCCACATTACATAGGAGCTTAACAACCATTAGTACTTCTCATTCACTCCTTTAAGATGAATTACTATTTTCTCTTTATTCATTTAGTATTACTATTGTTACTGAACCTACAAGGAAGCAACAAAAGAATTCTTCATGTTGTATTAGCAATCATCCAAGTTGTGCTATTTATATACTAGTTGGATAGGAGAGGAAATTCAAGAGATTCTGTGCATTCAACATTTTTTTACTTTATGTTTCTTCTTTGGCTGTCCAGTTATATTATTTAATAAGAAAAAGCATTGCAAAGTATAGGGATCCTATATACGGTAAAAATGAACAGAGCAAAAGTAACAAACAAATTAAGTTGAAAAAAACAAGAGATAGATCAAAGAAATGAAAAAGAAACTGTTAAATTGAAGAAACATAAGATTCTTCCCAAGACAGAGAGGTGATACCTGTGAAATATGAAAACTTCAGCAATGAATTGCAACCTTTCATTAAAAGCAGACAGATTAGTATAATCTCCAGAGTGTTGTATCTTTCTGGTCTCCACTGCTATCTCATTTAACTCATTTTTTATAGCATTATGCCAGAGCAATATTTCATCTATAGGATGCGAACCCATTGTCTCCGGAACATCTAGAATAGCTGCAGAATATTTTCTTTTCCCAGATACAGTGGACTCGCATGCACATTTTATTTTCTCAGTCTGATGGGCTAAAGGACAAGCACTACATTGAACCTGAGAATGATCTACACAATTTTCAACTGTGTTAGGACTACTCCGCCCTTCCATCCAGGTGAAAATAACCTTCAATTAGCAAAAATATGATCAGATGCATTAACATGACAAATCAAATGTATATAAATTCTGTTTCAACCCATAGAGTAGCATTAAAAGTAAATGGGAAAGAACAATGGTCTAAAGCAGCTTCAAAACCACACCTTTTGAAGAAGCTTTTCCTCTGGCACTATCTTGCTTAAGCACTTCCGTAAATCCTGAGATTCATCAGGTGATATGGATGTTGAAAGCCATGGAAGAAATTCTGCCATCATATTCACTGGAATACTGCAAAGAAACTGCCAAACTAAAGATGCTTGTTCCTCCACTGAGAACTTCTCAATAAGCAGTGGAAACACCTGATATCATCAGATAAAAAATCACACACATAACCATAAAAAAAAATGATTTCAGCCACTTAAAAATAAGGGCATGATAGCCACACTCAATTACTTAGGACATCATATTCTAAAGAGATACATGTAGTGTGAACTCCCTTAAAGGAGACTATCCAACTCAGACATAAACTGGCATATATGTAAGCAAGCCACATAGGTTGAACCTTCGAAATTTCTGGTTGATAATGTCAGCCACTCATGCGCAACTTTCATAAATATTATCACAAGTATGTACGAATTTACATGCTTAGCTTTTCTCCTAGACGGTACTCTCACGTCAACCAAGGAAAAGTAAGGCATAGTCCAAATTCTGCAACATGACAGGCCACTTTTCTTGTTTTGGATAGATGATAATAAGTTTCGATACTTTGTAACACTTTTATCATACCAGCAAGTGAAAGTTTACATGGGAAATCAACAACTCCAGCAAATAGTGGTACTTCTAGCTTGTAGAGTGGGAACTGGGAATATAAGTTTTTTATTTTGATATCTCTTTGTTTTTATCTTATTGCAAGGGTCCAAGAAGATGGTAATCAAGGAAATATCTATTGAATAAACTTACTTGCTGTTGCTCCTTAGCCATGTGTTGACTAAGAGACGTCTGCAGAGCTCCTGTACAGGATGCTAGCTCCCTTCGAAAACTTTCATCATTATCAACCGAAGAGTTTAACAACTCAAACAAATGGTCAAAAAGATCGCTTTCACCCTTATGTTCAAGAGAATATGTCTGTGCTACATTCTTCACGCGCTTATCCAAAGCTGGAAAAATCACCTACATTCCAGAACAGATTCCGTTAAAAATTGACTCAATTGAGAATAGCAAAAAAGCAAGTTCCATAGATCAATCATTTCACATCAACTAGAAATGGAACGAATTTCCGTGACAATACCTCTTTGCTAGCTACATTTAGTAACTTTCATAAAAAAACTCAATCAAGTAAATCAGAATACAAACAGCATCACACTGTTATTTACTGGTTTATACGTGATTGAAATACAACACAAAATGCTTCAATTGCAAAAATATTTTAGCACTGAAATTCACTAAATTCTTCCCTAAACAAAATTACCGAAGCTGTGAACATAACAAATCATGAATTATAGGGCATAGACATCATCATTTTCCAAAATCAACAAAACTCAATTCCGCAATTCAACCAGAAACAAACAAAAATCCAGTTGTATTGTACCTCATCTTCAGCATTGGAATGGTGTCTATACATCGACCTAAGGAAATGGTAGCGTTCGGAGAGAGGTTGAATATCGGAGCAGTTTCCGGTGGCGAACGCCAAAGCTAATCGGTGCAACCCATCGAGCTCGTTCCCAATCGCTTTTTGGAAAAACGAGAAAATCAAAATTGGCGATTCGGATAAAGAGGAACGGTTGAGTCCGCCGCCCCCATTGGAGGTGGAAGAAGGAGAAACAAGATTCGACAGCACGGCCACTCCGCCGCCTCCGCCGTCTAAGTGCTGCTGCAATCCCGTTAACGGAGTCGCCATACTCTTTTTTTCTTTCCGTTTTTTCTCGGATTTTAATTTTTCCCGGAAATTTTTCTCTCTCTAGGTCTTCAGTCTTCGTCGTTGTTGTTGTAATTTTTTGTGTGAGATGTTTTTGTTGTTTGTGTGTGTGTGTGAAGATTATAAGAGTCACGTTTAATTTGGTACTACTGTTATATTTTGGTTCGAGTGGAAAATAATATTGAGTATACACTCTGTGATGATATTTTATTTAAAGAAAACAAGACAACCTGCGAGCGAGTGAGCGAAGATCGTGACGATGTTTATATACATGTGGCATAGCTACGTAACGTGGCTAGTGATGCCACCTAGGATAATGATGTTAATTTTGGGTACGGAATCTGGATATTTTTCAAATGAGTAATGTTATACACTAGTGAGAAATATTCTAAATTATAAATCATTTTGTCAAAAATATTTATACTAAATTATAATGTATTTTAGAATTTAATATAAATTTTTTTGGCTAATATAATTTTTTTTTTCTTTCAATTCTTTTAATTTCGTCTTCTAATATAATTATTAAAAGATATTTTTGTAAACTCGTATATTATTTCACTTTAAAATAATAATTAGATTTTTTAATTTGTGTGAAATGACCAAAATGTCTTATAAATCGGAACGAATGGAGTATTTGAATAAGAAAAGTAAGAATGTATATTTGTCATTGTTTTAGATGATAATTTTAAATTTATTTTAAATTTAATTTCCTATTTAATAGAAATCATGGGATAGTGGTAGTAATGAATGATTGAGATTTAATTCTTCTCTTTCTTGCTTTCATGTTTTCTTACTAATAAACATTTTACTTTTTAAATATGGTTATTATTTTGGATTGGGCATGTGCTTGGTCTCCCGTCGAGCAAGGCCCAACTCAACTCTACTACGAAGAAGGCCCACTAACATGGCCCACATTGTTATGACCGTTGGGGAACGTATCTCACATGCGCCTGTCGAGGACCTTCTCCTCAACACGTGAACATCTCCTACGTGTGCCTGTCGAGGACCTTCTCCTCCACATGTTCGTCGGGGATATCTCTTCCACGTGCCCGACAAATATGTCCCTTCCATGGGCCTGTCAAGGGTGCGTGACCAACGTTCCTTCGAATATCACGGAGTCATCCTGCTCCCGAAAAGAACGGGTCCCCACCCTCCGAGAATCACGGGGCAGTTGAACTAGAAACCATGACTGGTCTCCTCTACCCACGTAGGATTCTGAAAGTCTCCATTTTGGGCCTGGGCATCTGGCCCAAAATGGGAACCTTAACCCAGCGCTGGAGGCTATAAATACCCTCTTTCACTAGAGGGTCAGGTACATTATTCTCTACACTCTTTCATACTTGCACTTTGCTCTGAACCTCACTTTTGCATCGGAGTGTCTTGCAGGTACCTCCCATTCACTTCAACAACTGCAGAAGTCCAAGTGTTACGGGCCACTGAAGATCCATTTTGATCAGGTACGATCATTGGCGTCATCTGTGGGAACTCTTGCTTCTCCGTCTTTTTTCTAAACCTTAAAACCAAAGCAAAATCATCAACTCCTACTGATTATCATGGTCGACCAACATGACAACGGCGACGAGAATGTGCACTTTGTCGACATTGGTAACAAGAACAACAATAATAAGGTCAGTGCTCACCATCAACATGACAGCATGGACGAAAGGATTGTTTCCTCATCCAACCGTGAGCATCCTTGTGATGACCATAACCGACATGTCGAGGAGCCTGTGGTGTACCAGGAAATCATGCCTGCCAATGTTGATCCCACCACTGGGCCCTGTTCGCGGCGATTAATCAGACTAACTACCTAATCTTCACGAATGGTGAACGGATCAGAATATTGGAGAAGACTCACCGATCACGCTCCCCCATAAGGCACCGAAGACATGACTCACATAGCATGTCCCCGCGGCGACGTGATGCCCGTTCACGGTCTTCCTCGCGGAGACACCAGCGGGACAATTCACGAAGCTCATCTCCTTATCGTGTTGGGCGAGGCCCTCGACTGGAGAGACCCTAACCTGAAGTCGTAAAGAAGCGCGATCGCACTCTACCGCGTAAGAAGCGACAATCCCTTCCTCCTAAGAGGAACAAGGGCATAGATTAGCCAGAGAAAACTAGGAGTTGGGCAAGAAATTCTCTGTGCCAGATAGCCCCCCGGTTCGATTCCTCCCTGTCTCGTTCTCTAGACTGAAGTGATGAAGACGACTCCAGGGTCCACTATCCCGAGCGATCATGGAGGCCCCTATTCCCAAGGGATGGAAAAACCTCCACCCTTGGCAACCTACGATGGCGTTACAGACCCCGATGATCACATTGAGAGCTTCGAGGCGATGTTCCACTTCCACAACATCGGGGGTGCCATCAAGTGCAGGTTATTTCCCACGACTCTAAGGAAAGGTGTCATGGTATGGGAAAAACACCTCACCCCAGAGTCTGTCACCTCACGGAAGGGCATGAAGACTCGTTTTACCAAGAACTTTACAGCCTCCCGACGACACCCCAAAACTGAGGTGTCCCTCGAGGCAATCATTCAGGGGAATGACGAACCCCTTCGGGCATACATTTAGCGGTTTAATCGTGAGGTCGTCCAGGTCCCCACTATAGACCGTGTGAAAAGGTATATGCTCAAGAAAGGGTTGCATCCTGGCGACTTCAAAAAGGCAGTCATGATCGAAATGCCCAAGTCATTGGGGAAGCTCCTCCAAAAGGTTCGGTCTTACATAACCTATGAGGAGCAGAAAGCCATCAACAGCGCTCGCAACTCGAGGAACCGTGAGGGGACCAGGGCCCTAAAATACGAAGATGTTGGGCCATCTCGATGGGGCAGGGACAAGAAAAAAGATGAGAAGCCTCATGACTCCCACGAGCACAAAGGTCCAGCTGGACAATTTACTGAATACACTCTATTGACTGCTCCCTGCGAGTGAATCCTCGTTGAGTGTATCTACTATGAGTTCAAACAAGGTGGTGTTAGGTTTCCCAAGCCTACACCCTTCAAATATGGGGTCGACAAGACTAAGTATTATCGTTTTCACAAGAGTCACAACCACGTCACTAAAGATTACGTCCATATCAAAGATGTTATCGAAACCCTCATCAAGGAAGGTTGTTTGAGGTAGTACACCAGAAGGAGAGAGCCTCCCCGACAGGATGTCTAGGAAGCAAATAGGGTTGATGAGGAGACAATGTCATCCAACGACGCTCCTAGCATGCAGGTCGCCCTTTGCATGTCTAGATCTGAGGACTTCTTCGTCCCCAAGAAAGATGACTTGCCCTTCTCTGCTCACGACACTTGGGAGAGATTCCCCACCGCCATGGTCATATCTGGCGGGAGATTTGACGCGGTCACCATCGGGTCAGTGAAGATAAAGTTTGAGGAGTTTATTGATACAAGCTCAGCTCAGAATACAACTCTCGACAGGTTGTAAGGAAAGTCTGAACCCATCACCTTTTATCTCAAAGAAATGCCATACGGGGCACCAAACTCCAACATCCCCTTGTTGGCAAGGGCAAAAATGGTGAACTTTAACGTTCGTTGAATCCTGGTCGACGAAGGGAGTTCCGTCAATATAATGTATGTCCATCTATTCACCACTCTCCATCTCGAAGAGACTCACTTGACGTCATACGTGGGTTCTGAACTACAGGGTTTTAATGGCACGACCACCAAGCCTTGGTGTTATGTCGAGCTCCTCGTCACCTTCGGGGAAGACGTGACATCCAAATATATAACAGTTTGTTTTCTGATCATCGAATGCACGTCTATGTATAATTGCGTCTTAGGAAGGCCAACTCTGGCCGAGCTGACCATCGTGCCATCAACGGTCCATTTTAAGATGAATTACTACACGAAAAGGGGTCGCTTCGTCACCATGCATGGGGATATCGGAGTTGCAAGAAGGTGTTTCTGTGCAGCCTCCAAGGGACAAAACTCGGTCAGTACAACACCCAATCCCTCGTCTAGCAAGCCCGACCAGTGGAGGACAAGCTAGCTCGAGCATCGGAGCAGCCGCCATCACCTCACGTCATCTCAGTGGACCTCGACACTCGCTTCACCAGAGACGAGCTGAAAGAAGAAAAGAGGGAGGGAGGTGGTGCCCGACCAGCTAACAATAGGGAGCCTTTACACCCCGTGCGCCCCATCCTATATGGAGATTTTAAAGTCATCCTCCTCGATAATGATCCAAACAAAGGTGTGAAGATTGGCAAAGGACTCCTTGGCTTGGCGAGGAAGCAGCTCAAAGCATGCCTGAGGGAGAATGTTGATATGTTTGCGTGGAGCATTACTGAGATGCCCGGACTCGACCCCGAGGTCGCCTGACATCAGTTGATCGTAGATCCAGGCGTTATGCCAGTAGTTCAACATAGGCGTGGGCGGTCTCCTGAAAAAGCGGAGGTTGCTGAAAAAGATATAAAAGACCTCATAGAGGCAAAATTTATTTCTGAGACCCAGTACATAACCTGGTTGTCTAACATTGTATTGGTCAAAAAATCTAATAGAAAATGGTGTATGTGTGTTGATTATACCGACCTCAATAAGGCATGTCCTAAAGATGCATATCCTTTATCTAATATTGATAGGCTGGTCAAAAACTCGACCGACTATAAACTCTTATCATTTATGGATGTGTTGGCTGGGATTTTTAACAATGACCAAAATCTAACCAAAATAAAAGGATAAAAAAGGTTCTTTGGAAAAGGTGATTTATGTGATTCGGCTATTGATGCAGTCTACCTAGAGAGATTCTATAAGTAAGTGATTGGGCCTAAAAACAGAAGCAGTCGACCAAGGAAGACCTCATAAGTTATTGGGCCTAGAAACGTCAAAAGGCCCAAAAGATCCATCAAACGAGCGAAGCGTTTTGGAGGGAAACATGGAGAAAGTTGGTTCGAGAGTACGAATGGAGAACGTGGGATCATGGAGAGGAGTTACAAGATAGACGTGGCGTACAAAGAAGTGAAGTCCGCTAGAAAGT